TACATAAAATCATAACCCTTGAAAGTATAAAAATCATGAAATTCTATATTAAATTGATCAGGCTACATCGTAGCCTTAGATGGCTAAATTAGTTCATACTAAATATGATAAAATCTGAGATTAAATTGATGAACCACAATTCCATATCCAACAAAGAAAAAGTAAAGTGTAGGAGAGCAAAACCCAATTCTTGGTGCACTAGAACCACTCTCAGAGTCTTCACTGTTGCGCTCGTCCCCTTGTTTTCAATTGAAGTGTCCCTAGTGGGTTGCCTTTGTTTCCGCCATCACTCACACAGAAATCTCACTTGCTCTGCCTCAAACTCGCCTTGCATCTCTGTCGGTTGCTTCTTGCATCGACCTTGCCTTTTCTCCTTTTTATATCCAACCGTGTGCCCTTTTAAAAGCCCTGCTCATCCTTCATAAAATAAAGAAAGCCCACATGTCCAATGTTATGCCCACATGTATGGAGGAAGAAAAACCACTTTAAATTATGATAAGAGAAATTATTGAATCAGACCTCATCTTTTCAACTTTTGTCATTTCAACCCATTTATTCTTGATTTCTTCAATTTTACCCTCTACTTACAAAGAATGATGAAAACAATGTAAAACCAAATAAAATCACTCCAAGAAGACTCCAATTCATGACTAAAAAGCTATGAAAAATTGCATAGAATTTAAGCTCATCAAAATATGTAATTGGGTGAATGACAAAAATGCCCTTCATCAAACCTATGAAGGCCTAACTTCCCCTAGTCCATTTCTAAATCTGAATTTTGGTAATATAATTTCTAATCACCTTAAAAATAGCAAATGAACAAAGTAAGGCATTAAAACCTAACAACTCTACAAGTTAGCAATATATAGGTCATAAACCTCTAAATTTCATATTGTCCAATCCATGTTAATTTTAACTCTAGAATTGAAATTCAAACTTGATTACATATTAACTGGCATCTAGAACACAAATTAGAGTAAAGTCTCAAATTGTTATAAAACCCTAATTACTATTCATGGTTTCCAACTTGCAATTTCTCATGAGTTCATGAAACAATCCACTAATTCAATAATATATCAGTCAAAGATACATCACATATATCAAAAAAAGGAAACAAACATAGATGTAAGTTTTCAAAAGAAAGAAGAACTTCCATAGAAATTCAATTCTCCTACAGTTGTACTTACCTTTGTTTTGCAATAGCACAATTACGAACTCCTAAGCAATATCCAAGCTAAAACAAGCTATTTCCCCTTAAAATTGGCTAAGTTCTTCAAACTTTCTCTTCTCCAAGCTCATCGGTTTCCTAGAGGTGGAAGACAACACCTTTTTTTTTGTTTCCCTACTTTCTCTCTTTCATTCACTTAAGTGCTAGAAAACATTACATAGTCAAAGGTATCAAAATGACTTATTTTGATTGGTTGAGAAGGCTTAAGCTTATCTTTACAAAAAAATGCCATTTTAAGTCTTCCTTATGGCTAGCCTTAAAGAAGAATTTAACTCTTTCACTTATATTCTATCTCATTTAGTTACCTGATGCCCAATGTCAACAATAATTTGCCTATATTACTCTTTCTTACATTTTTAGCTATATTGTCCAATTGAAAAAAAAAAAAATTAGGAGAAGAAGAAAGGGATAGTCCCTCCATTCCACACTAAGAATACTCTCTTACTCAAAATTTGCCCTAAACTAATTTCCCCTTCCGTTAAACTTTAATAGTATGTTTGGTTTAAAGGGAAAGGATAGGGGATTAAGGTGAGGCAAGTCCTTTACATTATTTTTTCTTTTAATTTTTTTTATTTATCCAAATGAAGGAAGGGAAGGGGAGTTCACCTCCCCTCTCATTTGCCTCCTTTAAACCAAACATGATATTAGGTTGTTCTTTTTTTTTTTTTTTTGAGAAATAAATTTTATTAATATATGAAAAGCATAAGGGTTGTAAGTCCAACATGAATGGTAATAGAAATAATTATAAATACAAAGATGAAAGAAATTAATAAAGATTTATATAACAAATTGTTTTTATCATTTTATCTCAAAAAATTTTAATTGATATAGGAGTTAGATATCTTTTATAATAAATTAATATATATATTGAAAATAACTTTTATATTTATTAATTAAAAATTAATTTAAATTATCAATTAATATTATTATATTTAATCATTACTAAAATGGTACAATATAAACAAACTGTGCATAGTGCAGGTTTAGAGCCTAGTTTTATATATATTCTTATACCAATTATTCAAAATACTTACTAAATTGTCTATGATTGGAACACTACTGGAAAACGCAATATATTTGACAGAATTTTCTGTTGAATATAAAGGATTTTCTGTCGAATATAAAGGATTTTCTGTCGATTATAATTTAATCGGCAGACATATTCGACAACTTTTTTTGTCGAAGAAACTGCAGTCGATAATATATACATTCGATAGCAATTTTTTCTGTCGATTAAACTTGTTTCATCGACAGAATTTTACTGTCGAATATACTGATTATCGACAGAATTTGGTAGCCGGATTTATAATTTTGTAAAGTTATGTTCGACAACCATTGGCTGTCGAATAAACTTTTCGACAGCCAATGGCTGTCGAATATGTTTTTTAATTTTTTCTGGATTATGTTCGACAGCTATTAGTTGTCGATTAAACTCGTTTAATCGACAGCTAATGTCTGTCGAATATGTTTTTTTTTTTTTCAATGATATATTCGACAGCCAATAACTATCGATTAAACGAGTTTAATCGACCGCTATTAACTGTCGAATATGTTTTTTTTTTTTGAATGATATTGTTTACACCTAAAATAAACCAATAGGGTAAGGCCACGTGTCAAGGTAAAGCCCAATTATTAAGAAAATCAATGGGCTGGATTTGGGCTGGACTGGCTTACAATTTAATGGCCCAGACGGATTTCCAAAGAGGTTGGATTTTAGGTGGCAGAAGATAAGATTGGCTCTGGTAGTTTGAGTTTGATTTAAAATGGGAAATTGAGGATTTTTAGGTAGTTATCTTTAAGGTTGTTGGAGATAAGGTTAAATAAAAATCAGATAACTATTAAATAACTGCCAGACCTGCAATCCCATTACCAGATCATGGAGGAACAGTGCCGAAAATGGAGGAACAGTACCGAAGATCATGGAGGAGGTTACCAACATCGAAGGGAACAAAAACAGAGAGAAGAGAACAGTTAGAAGCCTGCCCAGCACACACACAGGCTGCCCAGAGCATGTTTTCAGCTTTTAGACTGCATTTTCCAGATTTCAGCAGTAGTTTCCAGATTTTCCAGACTTTCTAGATTAGTTCATAGCCTTAGCCTAGGTTTGTTCATCTTTGTTTATATTTCCTCCCACAAATTCCAATTTAGATTTATTTTTAAGTATTTGGAAGCAACTCAGCCTTCAAAACAGGTCTGCCCTTTTGATTCGGTTAGTTCTTCTTTCTTTTATGGATTTAGTTATGTTATTTGTTCATGTAAATATGATGAACATTTTCTACCTTTGTTCTTTTGTTTCTGCATAATATCCAGACATGCAGTTTGTTTCATTTTCATTTCCA